ACACACACACACACACACACACACACACACACACACACACACACACACACACACACACACACGAAAAAAAAAGGGCTTTAGAAAAAGCAGCAACTGTGCTCCTGGTCTGGTGTCATTTTCCTCTGTTAGAGGTGACGACAGCAGAACCGAGAGCACCTGTCTTTGTCCATTTTGACCCAAAAAGCTCAACTGAAATTGCTGCTTTGTTCGTATCTTCACAAAAATCAAGGTCTGAATGACTGAAGGCACGCAATTTTTTGAATAATTTTTTTTTCTTGCTTTGAAATCTTGTTCAAATAGACATAATTTGTACTACCTTATCATTTTTAACAGACAAGCATGCGGACACATTCTTTTCGGTCTCCTGAGTGCTCTCCTCGCACACACTCTTGACTCTCGCTTGTCCCGGTGATATCGCGGGCATTGTAGTACGCCCTGTGTGAAATTCCAGCGAGTTATCTGGAAACGCGCAGGAATGTGACAAGATTTTGAGAGGTTAATTCCGGCCAAGATGGACGCTTGAAGCGGCGAGCAACGCGCCCCTCCGTTCGCGCAATTCCCTCGCGTACTGCATTGCTGATAATGAGGAGCTTAGTCTCCTTTTATAAGTTAATGAAGTCTTGACCTGCTCGAACTGTCGGCGGCACAATCTGTCGAGGACAAATTGTCTTCAGATAGTTGCATGAAATTGCAAAAAATATCTGTTTTTATCAAGCTCTGAATAAGCCAAGGACTTGACTCACCGTCTTCTAAATTTCTGAAGAAAGGTGAGCAGCTTTGGGCTAATCTAAATAATGATGTCATGTGGAGCAAAGTCTCGTCGACAGCCTGATGCAAAGAGTTTATGTTCCGAAGGATTTATATCGCCGCTCTGTCACAGGGTGCGATAAATGCCAGCCAGGCAGAAATGGTAATGTGATGTTCCAGGGGCAGGCCGCGTCTGCTCAGCCTGCGCTGTTGCTGAGTGAGCCGGGAAACAGGAAGAGCGTGCTTCAATCACATTTTCAAAGCAGGCTCTTTTGTTTGATGTTGCGACCACCACTGTTGCAGCTCGGTACCAAATATACACCTTATACGTCCGTCTTTAACGACAAACGCATATACTTTGGATTTGCCTCATGTGAAAGTGCATGAAAGAGCGGGACAGTAATTAGCCACATTGGAAGTTTTAATGAGCAATGTGAATAAGGGAATACGCGATGCAAAAAGGTTGCTGGGTCGCTTCACCTGATGGGCTCAAAATTAAGCCCACATTTTTTTTTCAAAGAAAGTTAACTTCTAAGTAGCTCTGACCCCGACGACACCGGAGCTGTGAAGTGCTTGGAACATGCAACGTCATCCAATTCATCATTTCAGTTGCTACTGCATTACGACTGATTCCTCGCGTGTTTTGTTGTGTGTGTGTGTGTGTTCGTAGTGGGAGTTGCTGTGGTCCCTCGTCCTGCTTTTTACCTTCTGCGCTCTGCTGGTCTGGTTCTACTTCTGGCTGGAAGCGCACAATGACTACAATGAGTTTAACTGGTGAGCCAAAGCCATATTGTTTATGTCTCCGGTTACTTGCGGCAATGTGTAAATGATGTTTGCAGTACTCGTAAGATGTGTATGTTGGGGATATTGTTAATGACATCATGTCACCTCGTCCCTTTATTGTCTGACGCCTCTTCAGCTGTCCTCTTCTTTGCCTACTTTCTAACCTTCACTTGCCCTTGAACATGTGTTGTTGTTGTTTCCATCAGCCTTCTTTCTTTCACTCGCAGTCTCTCTTTGTGTGCCACACGTGCGCTCATATCAGGAGCTCACACCCATGTTTTATTCGAGCCGGCATCACGGGCCTTCAAAAAAGAAATGCAAAATAGGCCCGCTTTTCTTCGAGCGGCGCATGCATAACAACGGTGAGGGTGATTTAGCAGCAGGGAGTGTCTTGGTCCATCTACAGAGGGCTGCGCATATCAGTGACAATGCAGAAGCTCTGACACCTGACTAGCCTGACATTGTGATGAGTGTTTGAATCAAAAGGACATGCAGTGGATGCACATAAGCTGAGACAAAATCATTTCTAGGATGCTGGTCGACCTCCCAAAGTCTTAACAGTTACGCGATTGGGAAATTCATGGAAATAGAAATACAGTAATCCATGGTCATTATTTCACATCTCACCTTCGACGATGTACATGCAACTACACACATTGTAGTTGTCTTCTCACTTCGAGGACTTGAGTTCATATTTCCGTTTCTCTAAGACAGCGCTTTTTATTTCTTGAAGTTAATTTTCAAGCAAGTGTTAATCTAACATTCCAAAAGCTGTCTGCGGTCGCTACGGTCGCGTTCCCTTGCGGCGTCTGTGCTGGCTTTATTGCACCAATAATGCATCAATATGCTTGGTATTTGCTCGATGTCTGCCTGTGAGCCTCAGACCTTTTTGTAAACAACATCTTCACTTTTCATTTTCACTCACAACCTGTTGATGCGCAAGCAAGCGCCGCATTTGGGATCGGAGGTTGGCACAATTTGATCTCGGGCAGCAAAACAAAAACATGCCCGCTTTTGTTCCGAAGGCTTCCCTCTGGACGTTAATGATGAAATGCGGGCGAGCGCTCAGTACGGCGACTGTTATAAAATGTCCCTCTACAACCGTTCCGGCGAGTGGAGCGATGGCACCGTTCCAGTCTTGGCCACCACCGCTGCTGGCTTCACCTACCTTGCCTTTTTAATGGTTCGTACCTCCCACAAATATCCATATTTCATCTTCTGCGTGGCATATTTCCCGGACAGCAGCCTGTAGCCATTCTTGTGTGTGTTTTCCCTCTGCCAGGTTTTAGCCCTTTGTCACGTTGCTCTCGGCCAGCAGCTGAATTTGCATTGGTTGCATAAGGTACCGTTTCAACTGTGATTTTTATTTATTTTTTTTGTCTTCCTTAGAATGTGTCTCATGCGTCACTCTCCGTATGTGTCACCGGGAGTGTATACTCATTCACGAATGGCTGACGCGATAGTTTCGACCTCGACGTCACGGGGAGGTTACGAAAGCCTCGTTACTCGACAAATGCCGACAACGAGTTTAGGCCGTGAAGGGGTCACGGGCCGCTCTGGGTTATCTTGTGATCGATGTTTGTCCAGCTTGATGGTGGGCTTTATTCTCTCCCTGTCCTCCTGTCCTCACAGATAGGAGTCACTGCAGCTCTGCTGACGACTGTCGTCGGGGTGATCTCCATCAATGAAACATGGCAGCACGAGTGGGACATCATCCCCATCTCCTTGCAGGTCAGTTGACGACAACATCGGAACTCTGAACGGCCATTTCCTGTATTTTTCGATCCAATGGAAACAATCCGTTCGGTAAAGAGAGAACATTTCTCACTGAAGTCAATTTATAGCTCAAATAACAGATTCCACTTTTTCATCCACGCACACAGGAATCGGTTCGTAGTCACCTTTAGTAAGTAGTTTTAAGATGGCTGTAATTAGTGCCCTCGTGAGATAGATTCCACCCGAATGGTCACATTTTTAAGGAAATGCCACCGACAAATTGCAGCCGTTATCTTTTCTCGACATCCGCTTTACCGTTTGGTGCATCCGCTTCTGCCGTTCTTGCATCCACGCAGGCCACGGGCCCGTTCCTGCACATCGGTGCCGTTGCTGCAGCCACAGCTCTGTCCTGGATAGTGGCCGGACAGGTCGCCCGCGCGGATAAAACGTGTAAGTTTGCGACACCAATTAAAAGTCACTCTTGTTTTTTTCAGGACTTGCACACAGGACGTGTACAATGATTAACAGTGTGAAGGCAGTGGCCAAAGACCTTGCATCCATGGAGTGCCAGATAATACGCATTCTTTCTGGCTCATGTCAGACCGATCAGTTTTTGAAGATTTGTTTTCAATCTCGAATACAGCAATCACATGAATTTATTTTCTGTCAAATCAAACGATGCTTATGTGGCACAGTTACTTTGAACGTCATCTCGCCTTTAAGCTCATCTTATGTCAGTCCCACACACTAACTGATTGTCATAGTCATCATACAATTTAGTCATTTCCAGGACTTGCACACAGGATGTGTACAATGATTAACAATGTGAAGGCAGTGGCCAAAGACCTTGCACCCATGGAGTGCCAGATAATACGCATTCTTTCTGGCTCATGTCAGACCGATCACTTTTTGGAGATTTGTTTTCAATCTCAAACACAGGAATCTACGATTATTACCACGCGTGTTCACATGAATTTATTTTCTGTCAAATCAAACGATGCTTATGTGGCACAGTTACTTTGAACGTCATCTCGCCTTTAAGCTCATCTTATGTCAGTCCCACACACTAACTGATTGTCATAGTCATCATACAATTTAGTCATTTCCTCAGAGGTCACGCCCATCAGATTCCTGGCCTGAAAATATTCTTTCTCCTGAGAGTTAAAAAAAAAAATATAATACGCATTCTTTCTGGCTCATGTCAGACCGATCACTTTTTGGAGATTTGTTTTCAATCTCAAACACAGGAATCTACGATTATTACCACGCGTGTTCACATGAATTTATTTTCTGTCAAATCAAACCATGCTTACATGGTGCAGTGACTTTGGACGTCATCTCGCCATTTAAGCTCATCTTATGTCAGTCCCACACACTAACTGATTGTCATAGTCATCATACAATTTAGTCATTTCCTCAGAGGCCACGCCCATCAGATTCTTGGCTTGAAAATATTCGTTCTCCTGAGAGTTAAAAAAAAAAGATATGAATCAAGAGTAACATTGTTGACAAGGTTCTCTTAAATCTGTGTGTTTGAATGATGAGGTGAAAAGGTCTCCTTGCGCACACATACACACACTTTGCCTTTGTCCCATTACACACACACACACGCACACGCACACGGTCGCGCGCGCCACGAGCACCGCTGACCTTGCATGTCAGACCGATCACTTTTTGGAGATTTGTTTTCAATCTCAAACACAGGAATCTACGATTATTACCACGCGTGTTCACATGAATTTATTTTCTGTCAAATCAAACCATGCTTACATGGTGCAGTGACTTTGGACGTCATCTCGCCATTTAAGCTCATCTTATGTCAGTCCCACACACTAACTGATTGTCATAGTCATCATACAATTTAGTCATTTCCTCAGAGGCCACGCCCATCAGATTCTTGGCTTGAAAATATTCGTTCTCCTGAGAGTTAAAAAAAAAAGATATGAATCAAGAGTAACATTGTTGACAAGGTTCTCTTAAATCTGTGTGTTTGAATGATGAGGTGAAAAGGTCTCCTTGCGCACACATACACACACTTTGCCTTTGTCCCATTACACACACACACACGCACACGCACACGGTCGCGCGCGCCACGAGCACCGCTGACCTTGAAACAACCTCCTCTGTGGTGGAGTCTCTTACTTGCCGCTGCAATTGCTCAGCTGAGCGGCAGTTGCTCTCCTGTTTTATTCATGAGTCTCTCCGACGTGGTCTAAGAGTTGAAAAGTGTGCTGTCCTGTAGCGTTCCAGGTGGTGGTCCTGGTCCTGTATCTCAGTTTGTTACTGGGTCTGTACGTGGTGCCGCTGTACATCGCCTCCCCTTGCATCATGGACCCCAGCAACCTCAGGCCCCGCCCCGATGTTATTGGTCACCAGGGGGCCCCCATGGTGAGTTCCAAGTGTACCCGGACAACACGACCAGCATGCTTTTCTGTCTGTTATCAATAGTGGGGCACCTTTTGTCACCAACCGCTCGGTAGATGCCTTTCCTCTTTTTCTTCCTCTGCACTTCCCATCGCCATTCTAGTGTTCATGACCTTGTGGTCAAACCACTAAAAATAACCAAACAAGATCAGCAGAGAGCCAAAGAAAGCCCTTTTATTGCCTGAGGAATGATGAGGATTTGTATTTTGTGTACCCCCCTCCCCTTGCAAATACCGGCTGCATTGAAATGAACTGGAATAAATTAAAACGACACAAGATGCTGCCTTTACGGATAAAGCGGAAAGCCACATCGAGAACACGATGCCCGCCAAGACGTAATGCCGAAAGACAATTCTAATTGTGTTGCTTTTCAAGTGAGGCGAAGATGGTTTGATCCGGTTGGCTCAGTATCCCTCTCAACGTTACACAACACTAGGATGGGAAAAGGGAGCCGCCAACATGTTTACATGCCAAAGAAAAACACGCAGCCTTCTATTTGTGATCGATCCTTACAGAGGCTTCTAAAAATGGCCGAGTTTCCGTGCGACCGTGAAAGCAAATCACATGACCGGGCTCGCTTTCCCACAGGTTTACCCAATCGATCATAACATTCCTCCCGTTTTTTTTTCCGCTAGCTTGACTCTCTGTGTACAGTACGTGGGACAGAAGTGTTTCTCACAAGTGATGTTTGGCGTGTGGGATCATATTGATTTTAGCCCATTTAATTTGTCATCCAAAGAGTTGTGGGTTTTTTTTTTTTGTTACACATTTCACAGCATTCCTGTCCTGTCGCAATCGATGTTTTGGTTCTCAAGATATAGCCAGGAATAAATCATAAAAAGGTTACGTTATAAGCACACTGAAGGAGTAATTTTTGTGAATTTTGTGTGTGTGTGTGTGTGTGTGTGTGTGTGTGTGTGTGGCGTTTTCAGCTTGCGCCGGAGAACACAATGTGGTCCTTTCAGCGAGCACTACAAATGAATGTCACAGGGTGGGAGACAGATGTTGCAATCAGGTACCCAAACACGATCGACTCACAGGTTATTTGTGCCTTCTAAAAGATGACGTTCCAAAGACCTGGTTGTTATTTAAAGCGGCGGTCCCCAACCTTTTTTGCCCCACGGACCAGTTTAATGTCAGACAAAATTAGATGATATGACCTGCATGAAAACTGTGGTATTTTCGTGACTTTAAACCCTTTGTCCGTTAGAAGTGTATCCTTGACATACAGCGCCATCTACCGTTGAACTCAAATAACACAAGTTAAAATAAAATGTGTTTTGTTTTTTTAATTCCACCAGAAACCAGATGAATACTGCCTGATGTGGGTGTGTGCAGAGGCCGGACCTTTTCCCCCTTCCCAAAGACGTTTGTTTTTTACTCCTTTTGCAAGCTTCCCGGTTTCATTTTAGCTGTAACCTATTCCGTGACGGAGAAGCGCACCTTGACCTGCATCAAGAGTGACATTGTAGACGAATGTAACAGAGAATCCGGTAATTTTTCAAATTTACAGAAGTAAGTTCACTTGCATCAAACAATCCACGTTTCACCGGTGGACAGTAATTTCTCTCCTTTTGGCTCTCTTGTGTACTCATCCTGTCTGCTTCTCAACTTCCCTTCACCCTTTTTCGATGTGTGACTAATTCCGGCGCTCTAAAGTTATTTATTCTTTCTGTGCGGACCAGTACCAAATGACCCGGGGGCTGGGGACCACCTTGGTCCTAAAGAGAAAAATAATTTGCGATTCAAATGTTGCGCTCAGGCATTGTCTGTTGCTTGCCTGTTATGTTCCTAATGTGATTCTCGAGATAAGCATCGAGCTCACTCCTCGCTCCTCACCCTGCGATCACGTGGCCTCGTCCGCGGCGGACACAACGGAGAAGCATCTTTCCGCTCAACATTTGAAACTGAAGGTCGCATTAACAGTGGGAAGTAATCCTCTCGGGAAGATGGAAGGACGACGACGGGATGCCGGTATCGATAATAGTGTTGAGATGATAACATCCCAGTCATTAATTATTGATCGGTGAGCTTGCCGGTTACGGACAGTTGATCCAGTTCAAGAGCAGGTTCCGTCTTCACAGAGATAATAAGGGCTGTCTTTTAGGGCCGAAATATAGAAGAAACGTCTCAGCGTAACACATTGTAGTTTACTCCGCCCACAATAAGAAGCATATTAAGATTCTGCCAAGTCTGGAATATATATTTTTTTAGTGTTGAGATGATAACATCCCAGTCATTAATTATTGATCGGTGAGCTTGCCGGTTACGGACAGTTGATCCAGTTCAAGAGCAGGTTCCGTCTTCACAGAGATAATAAGGGCTGTCTTTTAGGGCCGAAATATAGAAGAAACGTCTCAGCGTAACACATTGTAGTTTACTCCGCCCACAATAAGAAGCATATTAAGATTCTGCCAAGTCTGGAATATATATTTTTTTCCCCCCATTTGCTCGACGGTAACCTATTCCCTCTCTGCCACGTGTTAGCGTCGACGGCATTCCATTCCTGATGCACGACCGAACCCTGCGCAGGACGACCGACGTCGAGAACATTTTTCCCGACAGGCAGATGGAGGACGGCGCGTTTTTCAATTGGACCGATCTGCAGCAGCTCAATGCAGGACGGTGGTTCCTCAAGGTGGGCCCGCAGCTTCCAAAAAAGAAAATAAAAATCATTAGCTTGTCTTACTGAACAGCCTCTATTTGTGCAGGAATTATTATTATTAGTATTTTGCTCCGCTTCCTCAGGACGACCCCTTCTGGACGACGCACACTCTTTCGTCCCACGAAAGAAGCCTAATTGCAAACCAGAGTGTGTGCAGCCTCGAGGAGCTACTAAAACTGGCCTCTTACCACAACGCCACCGTGGTGTTCAGGCTCAGGAGACCCCCTGTGGGCCACCGCTGCTACCACAGCTGGATCAATGACACTCTGCAGGCCGTGGAGCGATCCGGGGTTCCTCAAAGTCTGGTTGGAGTTGTCCTACTTCAGTCCCGTAGCAGCCTTCCGGGTTCTTCCTTTTTTGAGTTGAATATGGTTGTACCTGACCTGTGATTGCAGGTGATGTGGACTCCGGACGAAGACAGGGATCAGGTGAGACAGCTTGCACCCGGTCTGGTCCAGACATCCTTGGTCAAGCAAGATCCTCAACGCCTCAGAGAGGCGAGTATCAGCCAGCTGGTACTCAGATACAGCCAGGCGACCACTCGGGAAATCAGGTCGGTAGACATACTCACGCAAAACACGCCTCAAGTAAGTGTGCGCACACACATATACATAAACAAACGTGTTTTTTAAAAACAAATACATCTTTCAGGGACTTGTCGGAGAAAAACATCAGCCTTACCCTCTACACGGTCAACGAGCCCTGGTTGTACTCGGTGCTGTGGTGCAGCGACGTGTCTGCTGTGTCATCTGAGGCACCGCATGTCCTCAAAAAGGTGCCTTACCCCATCTGGCTCTTGGTAAGGACACAATGGATGGTCATCTTTTTCTCCGGCGCTTTAGCCTGCACTCATCTCCTCAAATGAGCGCAGGGGGGGTCAAGCTCCTGTACACAGGAGTGTTTCCTTCTTCTTTCGAATGACGAGGGATCCTTCTACGGATATCGGCGTCACAGTTTAGCTGCAAATGCAATTAGCTGCAGTGATAACACAACCAGCACATTGAACAGCCATGTTCAAACTTGGGGGACGGGGGGGATTCATTGGTCTGAGGATCCCCCCGACACTCAAACCTCGTGCAACGGCAAACAAGATCATTCAGTTACAGTGTATTGCTAAAAAAACTAAAATAAAACACACATTTAAGTTAAATACTGAACTGTACTTAACAATTATACTGCACCGGATTAAGAAAAAAAAAGGTTAACCACTGGAAAATTACGTACACTGGACAGCAGCAGTTTACAAGTCGCCCCACTTTGAATAATCATTGTCAGAGACAAATCGTGTCATGTCGTTTGTAATTTTGTAGGATTTATACAGTCGCCTTGACTGTAAAAGAAATGCCACTGCAACATTTTAACGATGAAGGTCCTAGATAATAGTTGGATTGATCAAGTCTCTCGCTCGCTTTTGGTCATCGAACGGTCGTCTCTCGAATCCTGCTACGTCATCACAATGCGGCTTTGCGTGTCACGGCCCGAGCAGCAAATCGTTCGGCGTCAGTGTCTCGCCATATGGGAGCTCGCTCTCTTGTGTACTCATCCTGTCTGCTTCTCAACTTCCCTTCACCCTTTTTCGATGTGTGACTAATTCCGGCGCTCGAAAGCATTCTTTTGTTTTGATGACTTTGAGAGCTGCTTTTACTGCGCTTTTATCCGCATTTCACTTTTGGACCGCACAGGAATATACAAAAGAGATCTGGTGGGATCCGTTGCGGTTGTGCATTTGTTGTCGAGCTAAATACGTTTGCCACTCAAAGAGCGAAGACAACTCGTCCCTTTTTTTGTGCACCAGCCGTGCGCTCTTTCTTTTGACCATTTCGCTCTTTTGAAATGTGCTCTTTTTTTTTTGTCTCCCCCCTTGCCGCTCTTTTCTAAAATCACATCTGTCCATGTCTATTCCCCCCACCCCCTTCTCTCCCCATGGCTCTCGCTTGAACGACACTGCTGCCACTTCTCACGTTCACATCTCGGATTACTGTGAAAAATTTACAGTATATTGAATGTTTATCAGCAATTTCTGAAGATTTTTGGGGGGTTTGTCAAATAAATACACAAATAGCATTGTTTCCTCTCTGCCACGTGTTAGCGTCGACGGCATTCCATTCCTGATGCACGACCGAACCCTGCGCAGGACGACCGACGTCGAGAACATTTTTCCCGACAGGCAGATGGAGGACGGCGCGTTTTTCAATTGGACCGATCTGCAGCAGCTCAATGCAGGACGGTGGTTCCTCAAGGTGGGCCCGCAGCTTCCAAAAAAGAAAATAAAAATCATTAGCTTGTCTTACTGAACAGCCTCTATTTGTGCAGGAATTATTATTATTAGTATTTTGCTCCGCTTCCTCAGGACGACCCCTTCTGGACGACGCACACTCTTTCGTCCCACGAAAGAAGCCTAATTGCAAACCAGAGTGTGTGCAGCCTCGAGGAGCTACTAAAACTGGCCTCTTACCACAACGCCACCGTGGTGTTCAGGCTCAGGAGACCCCCTGTGGGCCACCGCTGCTACCACAGCTGGATCAATGACACTCTGCAGGCCGTGGAGCGATCCGGGGTTCCTCAAAGTCTGGTTGGAGTTGTCCTACTTCAGTCCCGTAGCAGCCTTCCGGGTTCTTCCTTTTTTGAGTTGAATATGGTTGTACCTGACCTGTGATTGCAGGTGATGTGGACTCCGGACGAAGACAGGGATCAGGTGAGACAGCTTGCACCCGGTCTGGTCCAGACATCCTTGGTCAAGCAAGATCCTCAACGCCTCAGAGAGGCGAGTATCAGCCAGCTGGTACTCAGATACAGCCAGGCGACCACTCGGGAAATCAGGTCGGTAGACATACTCACGCAAAACACGCCTCAAGTAAGTGTGCGCACACACATATACATAAACAAACGTGTTTTTTAAAAACAAATACATCTTTCAGGGACTTGTCGGAGAAAAACATCAGCCTTACCCTCTACACGGTCAACGAGCCCTGGTTGTACTCGGTGCTGTGGTGCAGCGACGTGTCTGCTGTGTCATCTGAGGCACCGCATGTCCTCAAAAAGGTGCCTTACCCCATCTGGCTCTTGGTAAGGACACAATAGATGGTCATCTTTTTCTCCGGCGCTTTAGCCTGCACTCATCTCCTCAAATGAGCGCAGGGGGGGTCAAGCTCCTGTACACAGGAGTGTTTCCTTCTTCTTTCGAATGACGAGGGATCCTTCTACGGATATCGGCGTCACAGTTTAGCTGCAAATGCAATTAGCTGCAGTGATAACACAACCAGCACATTGAACAGCCATGTTCAAACTTGGGGGACGGGGGGGATTCATTGGTCTGAGGATCCCCCCGACACTCAAACCTCGTGCAACGGCAAACAAGATCATTCAGTTACAGTGTATTGCTAAAAAAACTAAAATAAAACACACATTTAAGTTAAATACTGAACTGTACTTAACAATTATACTGCACCGGATTAAGAAAAAAAAAGGTTAACCACTGGAAAATTGCGTACACTGGACAGCAGCAGTTTACAAGTCGCCACACTTTGAATAATCATTGTCAGAGACAAATCGTGTCATGTCGTTTGTAATTTTGTAGGATTTATACAGTCGCCTTGACTGTAAAAGAAATGCCACTGCAACATTTTAACGATGAAGGTCCTAGATAATAGTTGGATTGATCAAGTCTCTCGCTCGCTTTTGGTCATCGAACGGTCGTCTCTCGAATCCTGCTACGTCATCACAATGCGGCTTTGCGTGTCACGGCCCGAGCAGCAAATCGTTCGGCGTCAGTGTCTCGCCATATGGGAGCTCTGCATGGGAACTCCCCACCGCAGTGTCTCGCTTCCTTTTGGCAAAGTCAAGCCGACCAGCAGATGTCATCGAGTGGATGTGTAATCCAAGTATTAAAAGAAAAAAAAATGGACGGATACTGATTAATTCCTGGTTTGCAGTCTCGTCGAAGGTTAAACCCTTTGTCCGTTAGGAGTGTACCCTTGACCTACAGCGCCATCTGCCGTTAAACTTAAATAACATAAGTTCATTTTTATTTATTTATTTTTTTATTCCACCAGAGACCAGATGAATACTGCCTGATGTGGGTGTGTGCAGACCTCATCTCCTTTGTGGCGGTCATAGCAATATTCATATTACAGAAGTAAGTTCACTTGCGTCAAACAATCCATGTTTCACCTGTGGACAGAAATGTCTCTCCTTTTGGCTCTCTTGTGTACTCCTCCTGACTGCTTCTCAACTTCCCGTCACCCTTTTTCGATGTGTGACTAATTCCGGCGCTCGAAAACTTTCTTTTGTTTTGATGACTTTGAGAGCTGCTTTGACTGCGCTTTTATCCGCATTTCACTTTTGGACCGCGCAGGAATATACAAAAGAGATCTGGTGGGATCCGTTGCGGTTGTGCATTTGTTGTCGAGCTAAATACGTTTGCCACTCAAAGAGCGAAAACAACTCGTCCCTTTTTTTGTGCACCAGCCGTGAATTGCTCCTCAGCTAAAGTCTCTTCGTACCTCGAGGATATGTTCAGAGACCCAATGATCGGATGACGCCGGGCATCCGTTTCTTTTTCATGGCTTCCCAAGCGTCGCTTCTCTGCTCGTCGGCGGCCGGTGCCGGCTTACGAAACTGACCTCTCTTGTCTCCCACTTTCTTTTGCCCTTTTCCTTCTTTTGTCCTTTCTCCTCTGCCTTAACTGCATGCTCGTCTCCTCTGCTGCACTCTGGCATCTTCTCTCAGCTATCACGTGATCAGGTAACGCTCTTCTCCGGTAACTGCCCCCCCCCCCACCCCCCTGTTTTTTCACGTTAACCCGCTCTTTCTTTTGACCATTTCGCTCTTTGGAAATGTGCTCTTTTTTTTTTTTTTTTTTTTTTTGCCCCCTTTTCCCCCTTTTTTTAAATTCATGGCTCTCGCTTGAACGACACTGCTGCCACTTCTCACGTTCACATCTCGGATTACTGTGAAAAATTTACAGTATATTGAATGTTTATCAGCAATTTCTGAAGATTTTTGGGGGGTTTGTCAAATAAATACACAAATAGCATTGTTTGGGGAGGGCACTTAAGGGTCTCTCAAAACACACACAATACTCCGTAGTGACAATATGATGAATTTTATTTTTGAAAGTTTATATTTTTAAATAACAACATTGTTATGTATGCGATTGGCTGGCGACCAGTTCAGGGTGTCCCCCGCCTACTGTCCGAAGACAGCCGGGATTGGCTCCAGCACGCCCCGCGACCCTCGTGAGGATTAGCGGTTTAAAAAATGGATGGAAGGAACGATGGACATTATTATGTCCTGAAATATTTGCCAATGATATCATTGCCAATCACAAATACTCGTGCCCAAACATCAGCAACATTTTCCTTAACGTCGGTAGTATGTGTCACTTATCAGAAGCTAACACTCGAGCGCATGCTAATCTGTCCTTCAACAGCGCACAATCGGCTCCACAAAGGCGATTCTTCCTCCACGGTGGAAAAATCGCCACATAGACGCGCAGAGCGTGAGCAGAGGCAGCGGTTGTTGATGTTGTGCTTTCCTGAGCTGACATTTGTGACCCTCCCGCAGGTATCGCACCAGCGGGATGCGAAGCTACAACCCCGAGCAGATCATGTTGAGCGCCGCGGTGAGGAGGTCCAGTCGGGACCTCAACGTCATGAAGGAGAAACTCATCTTCTCCGGTGAGAAGGACCTTCCTCTCATTCGTCTCGCTTTCCCGTCTTTCTCCCGGCACGCCGTCTCCTTTTTGAGTGTCGGTGAACTTCCTCCTCTTCTTCCTCCTCCTCTTCATCCCATCAAAGGTCAAGCCCAGTAGTTGCCTCAGCCTGCGCGTCATCCCGTATGTGACGTCCCCATCGTCTGTGCCGTCATCATCCTTTTTCATTCTCCCTCGCTACCTGCTGCCCCTTTTCCCGCATCCTCCATCCCTCCATGCGACCTTGGTAAGGACACAATAGATGGTCATCTTTTTCTCCGGCGCTTTAGCCTGCACTCATCTCCTCAAATGAGCGCAGGGGGGGTCAAGCTCCTGTGGGAGTGTTTCCTTCTTCCTTCTTTCGAATGACGAGGGATCCTTCTACGGATAGCGGCGTCACAGTTTAGCTGCAAATGCAATTAGCTGCAGGAGTGTTTCCTTCTTCTTTCGAATGACGAGGGATCCTTCTACGGATATCGGCGTCACAGTTTAGCTGCAAATGCAATTAGCTGCAGTGATAACACAACCAGCACATTGAACAGCCATGTTCAAACTTGGGGGACGGGGGGGATTCATTGGTCTGAGGATCCCCCCGACACTCAAACCTCGTGCAACGGCAAACAAGATCATTCAGTTACAGTGTATTGCTAAAAAAACTAAAATAAAACACACATTTAAGTTAAATACTGAACTGTACTTAACAATTATACTGCACCGGATTAAGAAAAAAAAAGGTTAACCACTGGAAAATTACGTACACTGGACAGCAGCAGTTTACAAGTCGCCCCACTTTGAATAATCATTGTCAGAGACAAATCGTGTCATGTCGTTTGTAATTTTGTAGGATTTATACAGTCGCCTTGACTGTAAAAGAAATGCCACTGCAACATTTTAACGATGAAGGTCCTAGATAATAGTTGGATTGATCAAGTCTCTCGCTCGCTTTTGGTCATCGAACGGTCGTCTCTCGAATCCTGCTACGTCATCACAATGCGGCTTTGCGTGTCACGGCCCGAGCAGCAAATCGTTCGGCGTCAGTGTCTCGCCATATGGGAGCTCTGCATGGGAACCCCCCCCGCAGTGTCTCGCTTCCTTTTGGCAAAGTCAAGCCGACCAGCAGATGTCATCGAGTGGATGTGTAATTCAAGTATTAAAAGAAAAAAAAATGGACGGATACTGATTAATTCCTGGTTTGCAGTCTCGTCGAAGTTTAAACCCTTTGTCCGTTAGGAGTGTACCCTTGACATACAGCGCCATCTACCGTTGAACTCAAATAACACAAGTTAAAATAAAATGTGTTTTGTTTTTTTAATTCCACCAGAAACCAGATGAATACTGCCTGATGTGGGTGTGTGCAGACCTCATCTCCTTTGTGGCGGTCATAGCAATATTCATATTACAGAAGTAAGTTCACTTGCGTCAAACAATCCATGTTTCACCTGTGGACAGAAATGTCTCTCCTTTTGGCTCTCTTGTGTACTC